GCTGTAACAGATAAAAGACAAGCCCAAGAAAGAGAAGCTGCTGGAGAAGATGGACAATAATTCAGTGAAGGGGAAAAAAGGCCAAATACAGGGGAGTCATGGGCAGCACAGAAAGACTTTATGATGCTAAAAAACATAATTTACCAATTAAGCAATTCCCAAGACATAGAAGTTTACTCTCAAGAGCCAATTTAGTAGCCTTGGGAAAGCAAGTCTAAGAAACAGCTCAGCGACCAGAGGGAAAAAACGTGTTTCAGTGGTGAGGATCAGACACTTGGAGAAGAGGCCTAAATGCCTGATTCTTTACTAGGGCTCCAGGAAGACAGGAAATTTTTAAAAAATAATAAGAGAAAATTTCTGTAAGTTGAATAGATATTGGTGGCCTGCAGATTGAAAGGGGGGTACCCATTTTCAGACTGCATGACTGAGGAAGGAGACAGACACATCAAGGAGAATCCCCATGAAATTCCTGGATTCAAAAAAGAAAGGGAAAGTCATAGAGCTGTCAGATCAAAAGAACGAATCACTTCCCAAAGACGAAGAATCGCTGGGCTTCTCATATGGAACACTAGAAGCTGGAACACAGGAGACTCAAATCTACAGACTCCGGGAGAGAAAGGAACAAGCCACAGTTCTACACCCAGCCAAAGCGTCCCCTCTCACGTGGTGAAGGAATCTGAGAGTATGTAGGAATTCAGAGAGTGTGTTACTTAAGTGTCCCCAAACGAGGGATTCTTCTCGAGCAAATGCTCTAACCAGAACACAAACCCGAGCAGACTTCAAGACAGGGCAAGGGGAAGGCAGCAGGAAACAGGGATGAGTTTTGCAACTGGAGATATTTACAACTGTACTATACCCACATCCACTTCCCTAAATGAATAAAGGTAGACTTCAGGGGAATCTGTACATAAGTGCAAATGTGGACTCTTGGAACAAAAGAGCATGTTCTATGGCTCATTTAACAGGTGTTTTGTGCTGGTCTCAGGCCATCAGTAGTGATGCCACTGGCCAGGAACACCTGAGGACACTCACTCGGACACCAGCCAATTCCCACAGACGTTTCCCCTTTTGGAACCAATGTTCTGGCTGGACCCGCCCTTGTGGTTCTTGTTCTGACTGTAAGATACACTTCAGCAATAAGCATCAGGGAACGCTGGAAGAGCAGGGTTTATTACTCGCAAATCCTAAAGGGTACACAGCACCCCTGGGGCTGAGCAGCAAGGTCGTGGGTCAAGAGAGAGCACGTGAGCTCGGGGTCTGTTTAGGGGGGTTGAATGGAGGGTGTCTAGGATTTCGCTGCTTTGCTCTTTATTGAATTTAAAACAAAAGAGCAGGAATTAAAGCAGGGGAAGGGGAAAAATAAGAGGTCACAAGGTCAGTGATCTAAGTCAAGCAGAGATCTCTAAAAGAAAGGAAACCTGGGAGGAGGGCAGCCTGGCTCTTGATCTAACTATGTCGCCGACAATCTGTCTATTCGAGATGGATGTCTTTGAAGGAGATGCCTTGGCAATCAAAAGCTTAATGTCAGGCACTTGCAACACAATTTTAAAAAGAAGCCGTCAGGTGCTTACAGGACACCATATTAACCAGAAGTACCAGATTGTCTCAGAAAACCTGGGAACTGGAGTGAGGTGGTAGTGACTCAAATCATTTCAAAGCTTTCAATTTAAGACCAAGGGAAGGAGAAAAAAACACAAACAGAAGAATATCGCATGATCTTGTTGATGCGATGTTGGGGGTGGGGAGAAGAGTTCGTGAAGCAGCCCCTCTTGGGGAGGGCGTGAGCAGCCTGGTTGCTGGGAAGTTGAGGGGGCGGGCACTGTGAGGGCTCCCCTCCGAGCATGTCCTCACGCTGGCCTCGGAAGTGCTGTCTAGACAGGCCCTGAAATGCTCCTTGATCCTGTGAATCTGGAGGCTTTTATTAGACTAAGTGACGTGAAATTGTCAATGACTGCGCCGTCTTTAACCTACCATTTCTATATTATAGCGAGCGTACTGTACAGTTTTGTCCAAGCCAAGACACCAAGGCCGTCTGCCAAGAACATCCCTCTGCTCCTTTGCTGTGCAGTAGGTGGTGCTGGAAACATTAGTCTTTCTAGCAACTGACTGGCAGGCCAACAATTGTTCATCTTGGGCTGAGGACTAAGGGCCAAATGAATCTCTTGACCTCAGCTGCAGCTGATAATTACTCATTTGTTTTTTCTGGTATGGATTTCTCGCATTCAGGCTGCACAGATTTTAACAAGTCTGGGAGGACAAAGGAATAAACAGTCCCTCCTTGGAGAATTAAATAAATGGTTCCAAGTATTCTGGGCTAATGGAGCACAGAATGTTCCTGTGGCAATGGCTCTGTCCTGCACTGTCAACTTCTCTGCAATAGTAGACACAAGACCCAAAATGAAAATTTCTATGTTATAGAACTTATGAGATGAAGTTGAAGACTAATTTAATAAGCTGGCATGTTGGTGTTGACTGTGGGATTGTTTACAATAACTTATTGATAAACTGAAAATGACCAAAACCACCAAAAGACATTGCTTACATAGATAATAACATCTTTCAACTTCTTAAAAATTACAAACCCCTTAAGCAGTTTTAAAAATACTTTCAGCAATTTTGAATGGCATGTGAGAAAAAAAAAGCACCCTGATTTTAAATTTAAAACATTAAAAAATTTTTGGTCAATATATTAAAAATTATGTCAGAAAATTTATTAAAAATACAACAGATGAATCATGTGTGGGAGATTATTAGTTAATAAAAAAGGCAATTAGGCAGGGAGTCTTGAGAAACAGTGCTTACATACCCTAAATATTGTTTTAACTTAAAACAGTTACATATACCTTCATTTGAAAATACTTTGATGTAACACCAAGGCACGGTCCGGATTCCTACAAAAGCCCCATCCATCATGCAATGTCTACAATTGCAGTTTTAATGTCCTTGAATTGGAGGGTGAAATTTGTACATTTTTAAGAAAACATATGAGTCTAGAACCTTCGAAGTTTTTTATACACTGTTGCCTATTTCTTTATAGATGACATTTTTTAAAAAAGCTATTCAAAATTAAATGTAATAGCTGGTTATTGGGCTGCACCCCGCAGGCCTGCAAGCCTTGAGGTTGCCCAGACTCTAGATGGAAGAAAGAGCCTTCAAACAGCAACAGAGACATCGTCGGGTTTGGGAAAAACAGGGGAAACTTACGAGTCTGAAGCAAAAGGTCCCAGAGCGACACCCCGCCAGGTACAGCAGACGGCAGGCAGGACACGGCAGCAGTCTCCGCTACTCAGGGGAGAAGGAGGCTGCCGTTTACACGGGGAGTGACGTCAGGCTGGCCCATCAGTTACCAGGGAAACCAGCAGAGGGGCTGGGGGGCAAGCACTAGGCGGTTACTGATTAAGCTCTTTACCTAAGAGGACTGTATAGTTGTGTCAGTGAAGCAGGGACTGGCCGAACAGGGGATGGACAGAGAACAAGAGAACAGCCATCTTGAATGGCCTGACCAGACACCAGTACGAAGGGCGTTAATAGTTGTAGATGGGATATAACTGACTCTTGGGAAATGTTCAGCTTGACCCTTGGTGGGCAGGGGTATTTGGACCTGCTGGAACGTGGCCTTCTAGTCTCGAATGGGCAGCTTACCGTGGGCACGGCTCTGTAGGCTTACAGAATGAGTGAACATTAGCCTGAGTGTGCATGAGAACCACTGGGAGGGCTCGTCAAACCCAGACTGCCCCACCGCGTGATTTTATACAGAAGGTCTAGGGCAGGGCTGAGGACCTGGGTTTGTTACAAGGTCCCATGTGACACTGATACTTCTGGTTGGCGGGTGGGGGTCAGGGGTTGCGGGAGGTGGAGCAGGGCACATGCTGAGAACCAGCACAGGCCAATCCCACAAGGTGGGTTAAGAGATAACCCTCTGTACAGTCTTTCTCCCATTTAATAAACGAGCACTGCTATTTACATTAAGGAGGGAAAAGCATGAATTGTCATATACATTTTTAAGCGATATGTTTGGTTCAGGGATTGAATTGCATTACATGGAGAGGAAATGTATGTATTCATCACTAGAAATGACTAGGAATTGAATTACTGCTTTTACAACTTTGATGTTCAGAATGATTTCATCTGGTGCTTAAAACAGCTGATCGCATTATTTTGCTGACAGTAACTTCTTGTTTCCAAATGATGAAAGAAAAGGTTCCAGACCCTTAACTGCACTTTTCTGTCAATAACACTTTGCCAGTGCAGGTAGCCTTTACCCCTGATTGGTGAGAAGCCGGCTCAGATATAAGGTATAATTGTCACTTTTTTTTTTCTTTAGCACATGGACTTTTGAAGCACACTTGAGATCTCAGTGTGCTGAACAGAAGCCATGATGGGAGGAATGCAATTCCTGAACAGGAGAAGAGTCTGGAGGTGGATTTGCAAGACTGGTTATTTGTGCTCTGAGAGGCAGTGACCAGAAAGGAGGACAATGAAAAGCAAGATCACCTAGGCAAGTAAGCATGGCGGCTGCCTGCCTGCCGAGGTGTTTGGACTGTTGTTAAAGGGGGAACGTTCAAGTTATTTTACTTGCCAATTTATGAAAAACAGAAATGGAAACATGTGTTACAACTGTCATTAAGGAACAGAATCCCTAGAAACATAACAGGGAAGCTAAAAAATGTTACATCATTAAGAATGATATTGTGGGAGTAGATTTATTTACCTGAAAAGATACTGTACATTTGAATAAAGACAAGCAAGTTACAAAACAGATTATGTTGTAGATGGAAAGAAGAGAAAAATGTCAAGGCACCTAAAGCAAAATGTTTCTAGCAGGATTCTTGGTGGGAGAGGAAAAGGTTGGACTCTTGGTGTTTTTTGATTATATTTTTCAGTGCATATTTCCTATTACATATTATTAATGGAATTAAAAAAAACCCAAAGAGGCAGCTATTATTTTTAAGAAGCAAATACAAGTGACACAGAGAGACCATAATGGTCATCTCCCACACTTTATTTCAAAATAATGCCATTTATTGATCTTCTGAGACATAAATTTCACCATCCTACAAGAAGGTGCTGCATATACATGTTATACGTGGGTGCAAAAGTGATCTCTCAACTGACACGCCGTAGCATTATACATCTTCAAAATGCAGTATTTACTGTATAATTATGCCTTCAAAGACTAACTATTTATTGATAATAAAATAAACAGAAGTAGACACAGTCATAAATTGCTGGTCGTCACTATAGCAACACTCTGATAAATTCTATTTTTGTCTTTGTGTTTGCAAAATTACTTTTGCTAACGTAAGACTCTTACATTGTGTGTATTTGAAATATCTGCAAACTATTTTAAAATACACCTTTTAAATATTCCTTTGAACAATTACAAATCACCCATAAGTTTTTTCCCCCTTCAATTAAAATGATTATAAAGACACTTAATCTCGTCTTCCTGACTCATAACTTTCTGATGGTGGTGGTTTAGTTTTAATTGAAATACCCTGGTGACTGTTCAAAACTTTAAGAATGAGAAAAACAATTCTGTTATTTCAGTAGATAAAATAAACATTTTCTCTCTTTCCATCCTGTTAAAATGGATGGTCCTGCTAAGAAAATACATGGCTTCTCATTTAAGGTGTGTCACTACTTGGCATGTTTATATACAGGAAGAGCCTTTCAAGCCAGGTATATGTGAGAATGCTCACATCTACATTATACATATATTTAACTCAATAAACGTGTCTTCTAAGCCTCTATAAAGAGCATAGGCAAGAGCGTAAGTTTCCAAGAGAAAGTATTATTGGGGTACTTGGCAAATTTGAGGATCAATTTACCTGACAACAATGACTATAAATTTGCACTGAATGTATTTTTTGGTCATTTAAATTTTATTATTTGCAGAGATCTGAATGATACTCCAGCTTTTCCTAACTGTCCCAGTACAATCATTTTGTACCAGTAAATCATCAGTTACTCTAATATTTTACAAGACTGGCCACAAGATCAACTCCATAGAAAAACCTGTGGACAGATGAAAACGATCGTGTGACCCACAGAGGATTTTATATAAATAATATGCTATAAAGATTGTGGCGTATTCTACACAGTACTTTTAAACACATTATGTCATTGGGTACAATGCCATGAGAATGGCGATCCAAAATTAACATATAAGGCAATGGAGGCCCAGGGAGCCTACAGGACTTTCCAAGGTACCGCTATATGATGTAGACTTTGATTCTTAAAGGTTTTGGTTCTGGAATGAGTTTTGAAAGAACTCTACTACTGCCGTCATACCTCGCTGGCTGCAGGAGTCCTCAGTCCTACAGGCTACAGAATACACGAGGCATTTATTTGCAGCATCACAAAGGAAATGTATAACGTGTTTAGGAGGTGCCCAGCAGTCTTCAGCTCCCATCAGCCCTGCCCCCAGCCACTGGTTCCCAGAGAAACAAGCCATCTCTTGGGGCTGTCCTCCTGCTTCTGAAGGATGGCTGAATATATAGATTCATCCACTGAAGAAATATTTACATGGCATGTATTGTGTGCCATTCACTTTCCAAGGTACAAAAATGCAACCACAGTCAAGACAGACCCATCCTCTGCCCTGTTCAAACTGACACATCGGGTGGTGAAGATGGAAATGCGTCAGATGATTCCTACAGAGTGTGGTAAGTGCGACACTGAGTAATCCGGGCTGCCAAAAGCCAACTATGAGAGAGGGGACCCCACCCAGATCAGGGGGTTTGAAGGAAGTGGTGTCTGAGTGGGGACATGGAAAACAAGAAGCCAAGTCAAATCAAGCAGTGAGAAGGGAGAAGGGAAGGGAGAAGGGAAGCAGGGAACAGCATGTGCAAAGACCCAGAGGCTAGGGAGAGTGTGCTGAGTTTGAGGACCTGGAAGTTCAGTGGGAGCAAACTATGAAAGCTGAGAGCCCTACCAGTGACAGAAAGAAGTCTGGACTCTATCTTGACCATAAAAGGGAGCCAACAAAGGGTTTAAGCAGAAGGTTATTGAATAAATATTGAGAAGACGGTTGTAGTAATCCAGCTGAATGATGGTCAGGTGGTCTGATGTAGGTAATACAGGGAATACTAGAGGAAGGATGAAAAGGGGTGCGAGATCTTTATAGAATGTCGACTCCTAAGACCTGATAATTGATCGTGTGGATGTAAGGGACAGAGAAGAACCACAGTATGAGTCCAATAAGATGAGGGCCAGGAAACTCCCCAGGCACTAGCATCACAGCCCCCTCTCAGCTTACCCGCTCCCTCCCCCGGGCCTCCTCCCACCGCAGCCCCAATTAAAGTTCTTCTTTTCTCATGTGAAGAAAATTCCACACCTCACTTAATTCCGAGAAGTGGATATTGCTTCCCTAAGCTATATGGGTAAGACTGTAATACAACCAAATTTAGGCTATTGCTTTAATCACAACACAAAGAGAATTAAAAAAAAAAATCCACACATACAGCACAAGAAGCATACAGACCATTAAAATAAAACAAGTCCATACAATTTGTCTTAAAGGACCCTCGGATGGCAGGAACAAAAAAAGGATTTCATTTGGCACAAACACAAGCTGAAAGGCGTTCAAAAGTTGAAGACATTTTCACAATGTCTGAGGCCACACTGAAGGAGAGTGACAACTTTATAAAGGGGAGGCTAGTCATAGCTTCTTTCTTAAAAAAAACTGCATAGCCATTGAGTTTACTCAGCTAAGTGCCAGCGCACGGAGCTCACACAGTCATTTCTAAGTCCACCGCACATCCCAGTGGGCGAGGGGTGAGGCATTCAAAGAGAACATGACACAGACTAAGAATGTCACACCTGGGGAGAACTGGGTGCCTTTTCATGAAATTCATATAAAACGTCTCATTAGAATCCGTTGTCTGCTTGGTTGTAGGACATGTCTGACTCCACCACCTCAATACCTTCATAACCGTACATTCTGTCATTTGAGGCTGTGTCACTTTTACTCTTTTTCCTTTTCAACAGCTTTCCTTCCTGCAGGTGGGACGGTTCAAACACAGTAGAGCTCTCAGTTTCAAGTCCTTTGGCCAACGGAACCTCCGTCTCACCCGGTTCAGCTGCATCTGAATGATGGGCTGGGGGCCGACTTCCGTCACCCCATAGCGTTTTTCTTATTTCTTCTTCTTTAGTCTGAAAAGCAGTATTAAAGAGTGAAAAAGAGTCCAAGTAACTTCCTCCAGGTTCTCATGAGTACTGCCTTTAATGAACATTCCTGGCTTCTCTAGTTGGTTATTCAGTCATTTAACAAACAGATGTTGGGGAATTACTGTTGAAAGAGACAGACATCCTCCCCCACGCCCACTGGAGCTACGGCCTCGTCCTTGCCCTCCCAGAGGCCAAGCAGAGAGATGGAGGTAGAGGCTGTCAGACCAAAGCTGTGAAGGCTGGTTCCTGAAATGGTTGGTGAAGGTTATTATGGGGACCATGTGCGTGAATGCTGCAAAAGTTGTCTGAGCGTTTGTGCAGACTGCCCTCAGCTCCCACCCTCCACCTGGGGACCTCCTGCCATCTCTGGCCCCGTAGAAGTTTCTCTTTTTTCATGGGAAGAAAACTCCCTACTTAATTCTCAGAATTGGATATTGCTTCCCTAGGCTACACAGAAGAAACTGTAATTCCACCAACTTCAAGATAGTTGCTTCATTTCTTCCCCCACACAAATAAAACTTATCGAGAAATTAAACATACAGCATTGGCAGCATATAGATCACTAAAATAACTGCTGCAAATCCATGCATTCTGCCTGAAAGCTGCCGACTGCAGAGGCTGGAGCACATGAGCTCATCGCCTGGGCAGCGCGCCTCACGCGAGGGCTGGTACCTTCCTGCGCTCCTCCACCGCCTGCATCTGCTCGTCTATGTCCTTCATTGAGAAATCTTTTACTTCCTTTTTGAGCTTAAGTTTTTTCAGCCTGGCTGGTGGCTTTCTCAACGGATTCTCAGTCGTGCTCACCTGGAGGAAGACACTTTTTTAAATGGAGAAACAAATGTATTCACTGGCAGAGGAGAAAGAAGAGAGAGAATAAATATTGCTTAAGATGTTAGTCCTGATAAACAATGAGTTTCTTCTGTCTAGCACAGGGAACTATATTCAATATCTTGTAGTAACCTATAATGAAAAAGAATGTATGTATGTATGTGTATGACTGAAACATTAGGCTGTACACCAGAAACTGACACAACATTGTAAACTGACTGTATTTCAATAAAATTAAAAAATGAATAGATAAATACATAAATATAGTCCTCATCTCCCCACCCCCCTCAAAAACAGTAAATGAGATGTTGAGGTTGATATGATTGTAAATGTCACCTATGTCACTCCAAGTTAAAAAAAAAAAGATGTTAGTCCTAAAAATCTAAACAGATTTTTGGGCAGACTTTAAAACCATGGTGTGACCACTGTTCACAGACCAAACTCATTCCTAAAGAGTTAATTCCTGGTAACAACAGAACTCATTCCTAAAGAAACAAATATCTATTGGATGTCTAGGAAAAAAGAGGCTATTATCAAAAAACATGAAAAAAATACAGAGATGGAGGAGAGCTCGTAAGAAGGAAAAATAAAAAACATGGAGAATGAATATAAGATGGGAAAAGGTGGTGAATGAATGATGAATTTGTAGTTCAAGGTAAAAAGTTAAACCTCATGATTTTATAATAGTCCACAAGCTACAAATGATTTTCATTTGGGATCAAGACTAGTTTTAGGGCTTTTGGTCTTGTGGAGGTGAGAATTAATAATCACTGATGTGGCCTGGAACCAAACTTGCAGTATCTTCGATGAGGTACTCCCGTACTGTTCTAGGTAACTTCTCTAAAGACTTTTACAGACACAGGAGGAATTGACATTCATTGTAATCTCTGAAAGACCGTTTCTTCAGATTGCAATGCTGTAGTTACTGAGAAAATAAATCACACAAAGAGAGACAGTCCAGCATTGCAGAAAAGGGCACCAGATCTGAACTCACACAGCCCTGGGTTTGAATCCTGGCTCAGTCACGGTGTGGCCTTGCATGAATTCTTAAACTCTGTAAGCCTCTCTTCCTCATTTGTCAAATAGGTTTAATAGCATATATTTCACAGGATTTAAAGAAAAAAGGAAAGTATACAGTAGCCACTTGGGAAACGGTAATTCCTTTTCATCCAGTGAAAGCAGTGACTTTTTTCAGTGACAGTGCACAGAATCATAACCAAATACAGTATTTGTCATGAAGGGGAGAAATGAGCCTCAGAATCACGGGGCCAGCAGGCAGGAGCGCTGGGCTTTATTTAATCCCGGGCCTTCCACAAATACCCGCTGTGTGACCTGACACAAAGCACTTCTCTTTGGGCTCATTTTTCTCAAAATTATACCATCGCCACTGCTTTGCAATTTGCTGAGGACGGCGAAGCTTCCCTCCAGCTTTAAAATCTATGATTCTTGGAAAACCTCTTAAAGTGAAAACATTTATTAAAGTTTGGGCTCAGTTACAGCCTTCAGACAGTTTTATGTGGTAAGAAGTTGTTCACTACAGGAAAACTGGGAGATGTTTGTCAAAGCAAGTCCACCCTCCCCCATCATTCTATTATTTTTATGACAGTTGGCTCTTAGGCTCTTGCTGGCAAGAGCCTTCTGCTAACAAGAGGGACGCACTTGCTACGGCTCAACTAGAGAGACTGTGAAATTAGTGCGAAACACAGAACAGTTTTTTTAGGGAAATTCACTCCTAGAGGCTAAAAGAGGACGGAATAGTCGTCTAAGATCCAGACAAGAAAGGCTCTACCAGGCTTACCTAGGAGTCTGAACCTTCACTAAAATGATGAGATCAGTAGCTCCAAGAGAACTTGGGATTCCCGGTTTGCGTGGACGCTTTCTATGGCTTTACCCCCAAAACGATGCCTAAGAAGTCATGTACTTCCTCCCCAGGCGGAAGTTAATCCTGCATGTGCAGCCCTTGTCCTTTGTGAAGTCTGACATTTTAAGGAAAAGTATTGAAAAACCTGGGGAACAATATCTGTATTCTTTACCACTGGATTTTATAAAGTCAGGATTTATCAACTGTTGGTACTTAAAAATGATAGCAATGATCACATTATGTGCAGAGAGGTGCTACCCATAGAAACTCTAAAAAAATAACAAAAAAACCTTAAAACCTATGGAAGTTACTAGTTCAATTATTTTCTTTAAGAACACGATCAGAGGATGCCATGCCCAAAGATGCTGCGATAAGACTGGGGTCTTGTTTCTAGCCAAACTAACGTGTATACTACGTTAGTTCTTTTTTTTTTTTTAACTTGAAGTATGGTCAGTTACAGTGTGTCAGTTTCTGGTGTACAGCACAGTGTCCCAGTCATACATATACATACATATATTCATTTTCATATTCTTTTTCATTAAAGGTTATTATAAGATATTGAATATAGTTCCCTGTGCTATACAGAAGAAATTTTTAATCTATTTTTATATATAGTAGTAAATATTTGCAAATCTCAAACTCCCAAATTTATCCCTCCCACCCGCTTTCCGCCTGGTAACCATAAGATTACATTCATTCTTGCATCCACTGTGTATTCCTCAGAGCTTTCCTCGTTAACCCACAGATAAACCTACCTTGGCTGTGCTCTCTTAATGGGAGTCTTGTGCATAGAATAAGCCAAAGTTTCTCACAAGAGGTCTCATTCCTGCTCTGTCACTGTTAGAGTTCCTAAGACGGTCACTCTGAGTGTTAACTGCCTTTATTCAGTTTTCACCCAGCCAATGTCTTCCTCCTTAAAAAACTCCCGTGAGGTTCAACAAATAGTGTTAGAGGCTCTGATTCAATGTGAACAAACTCCCTAACTACATTAAAGGTTATCAAGTACAGAAGTCGCCTGGAGAAGGGAATAAACTTGGACCAGAGGCAGGAGGCATCGACAGAGAATTGCGAATCTTGTGGAGGGAGACCCAGGACAGGAGAAATGAGTCTGGGATAAAGGACACCTAAAGTGGATAACACCTATGTGGATAAGTGAGAGCCAGTCCCATCTCTTTAAAGAGATGTGTACCAATCCATACACATAATTACATGTGTATATGAAACCAACATATGTAACACAGCCACTGGAGTCTCATCAGAATGTTTTAAAATACATTCGAAGATTCACTTAGTCTGATAAGTTAGCTTCTTAATATTATATTTTTTACACATCATTATGATTCTTTCTGAGTGAGCATAACACCTATTAGCATGAAGATGCTTTCAGGTAGGTTATCCAGAGTGGCTCTGGAATTGCTGTCATCTTTGTCAAAAAGCAGATAATGAAAAAATAAAGGGAAAAAATGGTATTTTAATTTTACCACAATAAAAAAAAAGAAAGAAAAAAGACCATGGGGGGAGGTGCTGAGGACACAGAAACTGCCGTGGATTTCTAGGAAGAGACTGGCTCACACGGGACCCTCCCCCTTTTCATCATCTTCTATTAGTTTCACTCCAAATGATAACTAAATTAAAGATGACAACCTGGCTACTAAGGGGAAAGATCTACGTCTAAAATTCCCTTGTATTTCAGTATACTGTTGGTCTACGTAAGAAGCTTTGTTTTTAAAGTATTCTCACATTTATTGATCTGTTTTTTCCCATCATATTTTAAGGTTTTTTTTGAGCAATGAAGAAATGGTCTTCCCATGTCTGACCGGACTCATCACATCGTAGTACCTGCTGACATTAACATCTCTTTTTTGATCATTTCCCTTTTGTTTCCTTTGGCTCTTTGTTTCTTAGTCAAAAGTATTCACTGTCTCATAGTATTTCCATTCTTTATATGGTTCCCCTCTCAGTCCTTGAATATTCACTCTCATCTTATACCATTGGCCTCAGAACTTTCTTTCAAATATTCAAGACATCTGGTGTCCAGCACACACGTTCACAGCTACACCTGGACTGAATGAGACTTCACCTGTGACGCTGAGCAGGTACGTCTCGTCTTCATTTCCATACGCTTCCTGGGTGTAACCTCAGCTCTCTACTGAAAATATGGGATATTTTCAGGGGTATTTTCGGACCCTATTTTGGGGGAGATTTCAGTTTCAAAAGTGTTATCCCTTCCCAGCTTTGTAATGAATCTGGGGGCTTGGTGGACATTTTTATTGAAATTTCATGGCAGTGGTTCTCACAGCCTAGGCTGCCCACGGGAATCAGCTGGGAGCTTTCAGAAGCACCACATTCTGGGCCCACCTCCAGCCACTGGTGCCAGGTGGGGCGTGGGCACCAGGAGTTTTGAAAGCTTCCTGGGTGATGCAAATGTGCAGGTTAAGGACCACTGCACTGGGCAATCCAATGCACAGCTGTGCGTTGTGGCTCAGGTCTGTTGCAAGTCTGGCTTATGTTGGACATCCTGGCCCAATTCCAAAAAAAAAAAGAAAAAAGAATTGTGTTATTCTTGCCTACCTCTGCAGGCCTGTCGCATTTAAATACTTTCGAGAACAGTTCAGCTATGCTCCTGACAACCATTCCGTCTCTACATAATGCGGACACAGCCTTCATCTTTGGCTCTCTTCAGGATGTTACTGAGAGTCAAGCCCGTAGTTCTCATTTTTTAATAGATAAGTTCCTTTCACGATGTAGCTTATATTAATTAACCTTGCTGGTGCCCTTGTGAGATCTGAGTCTGAACTCATTCATCTCTGGCGTCTGAATTACTGAAAAAAAAATTTTAATGCTACTCCCTCTGGTGTGAGCATCAAAGTTCCATAGCATCTCCCTGAAGAAGGCCTTGCTTAGCTCCTGAACAATTTCACAATCTGTCCTCCTCCAGATGGCTCTCCTGTCTTTTCTTTTTGACACACCTTTTCTTTTCTGACCCCTTGAGATTCACCTACAGCAAGAAAAAAAAAATCTCTCTCGCCCTTTCCATATTAAAGAGGCACCCTTCTTTTAGCACTTTGAAGCAAAATAAGGTGCTCTGAACCGCCTTGTATTGTGATGGCTACCCTTGGGCAAATGCAGGTTGTCATCCTGCTGGCATCATCTGTTCCATTATAAGGTCCATTTTTAGCCTCCCCTTGTCCCCCACTTCCTTTTATTATTGGCAGCCTGATAATATTATAAGCCTTATATAATAAGGCTTAACAATCTCCTTCTTTTTGCCAAATACTTTCTGCAGGACTTATTTTTCCTTCTTCAAAAGAAAATACCACTTTGGCTTTTATTCACGAGTTCTCAATGTGTCCTACACACAGCGAAAGAAATTACCTTTATTCAAACAGTAAGTGACTGGGGCTGGATGGCAAACTTGATTTAAATAATGAATCCTTTCATACACAATTGATTGTTTTCCCTACAAAACTGGGGACTGGCTGCCATGGAGGCACCTTTGATATAATTTCTGGTCTCTATTGCCACCATTTCTTTCTTTCTTTTCTTTCCCATTCATTTTCCCTTAGCCTTCATTTCAGTTCTTTTTTTTTTCTTAATTAAAAAAAATTTTTATAGGGGGAGGTAATTAGTTTATTTAGTTATTTATAAAATGGCGATACTGGGGGTTGAACCCAGGACCTCATGCATGCAAAGCACATGCTCTACCACTGAGCTATACTCTCCCCTCCTTGGTTATTTCTTCTTTTCATCTTCTTTCCTCTGTCTCTACTTTAGGACAACTGGTACTGCTGGGGAGCATTGGCTTAAAACAGACAAACAAACAAACAAACAAACAAAAACAAAACAAAATGATGACAAACCCCCTGTCCTCTTCACAGGTTCACATAGAATTTATTTAAAAATTAAGACCTCAAGACTTTGGCCACAACCAGCTAAAATCAAACTAAAAATACTGCTCACACGACAGAAAAACAATGACAGATTAGTCAAGATGAATCAGTGAAGAAAAATAAGAGTCTAATCATTTCTGTAATTTCATTTATCTCCTCATGGTTGACCTCGGGGTGTTTATATACATGTGTAAGCATATCCGTTTTAGCTTTGGCATTTAGACCTATTTTCTTATTGGATAACTCAGAGGTCAGTTTTATATTCACATGCCTAGTACATAAGCAATTCTTTAATAAAAATTGCTGAAAGAAGGAAGGCCTTTTATTCCATGGGGCTTTTTGTGTCTCAAATTTGGTAAAACCCAAGATATATTTTATTGCATTCATTAATCATTAATGACCAGGCAATTCCTGAAACTATAAGAGAAGGATGGTATGCAGAGGGGCGGGGGAGTTTATGGAAGAAAACACTGGCTTAGATAAAGGCTGTGCTCTGTATTGTGACTCTCAGATGCATATTGCTGGAAAAAATAACTTGTGATCAGTCATACTCTATTGCTATTTTAACTATAAGCTAGTGTTAATCACAGGATTACTTGCCATGACGTCATATGATTCTCCATTTCTCAATACTTTGCTGTGGCTTTGTATTATTCCTTGAACAATTAATTCCTCCAGGATGTCTGATGACTTTTGTCGCTCTCCATTCTCTAAGGGTTGGGGTTTATGGATTAATCCATTGATCACTGGGTCTTCCAAAGGAAAAGAAGAAAAAAAGGAAGTGAAATTTAAGCGTGAAGATGTTATCAGTCAAATGCTAAATACATGCCTTATCAATCATGCTCATTAATTAATTCTTAGTCTCAACACTCGCACCTAAGTGTCTGTTTCTATTACTAGTCTTTATAATCCTTTGAAGTTCGAATCCTTAATGTTCTTACAGAGGATACACATCAACACAATACACTGTTTACTTAGCAGGTCAAATAGTAACACAACAAGAAGTCTTTCATGTACTGTTATGTACTACTTTTTTGTTGTAACAACACTTGTACACTTGGGTACAATTACATGGGTTCCATGGAAGAATTATGAAGCTAAACCACAGCTAAGAATGAGATAGTCTTTCAGTGACTCTGATGAGTTGCAGTTTGGTTTCTATGCTTTGTATACAAAGGATAAACAGTGTGATGTTGCCAAGAGACTTCCAGTTCTGCAACCCTGAGTTTACAATTACGCCATCTGCTAAATCTATGTCAGTAAAAGTATGCCTTTTTGAAAAGACTCTTTGAACCAAATCTGAATTTGAGTCAAGTGATAGCTAAATTTTTGTTAGTGATTCTAAAAATGGCACTGAAACAGTTTATAGGGGAGCTTTTGTAAACGGCACTAATGAGAGAGACCGCCCCCGTTACAAGTCACACAATTACATAAATAAGCAAACAAGTGTCCATTTTTCACAACCTCATAAAATACAGGTGTAATGAGGAATCCTCAGAAATGAGCTCTCCTCTATTTTGTAATCATCTGGAAGTCCTGAGAGTAAGAAATCCATTCCATCTGGTGGATGGAGACTTTTTATGAAAATTTCTAACCTCGCTGGTTCACAAAGACAGTTTTCATGAATTTGTAGCGGGAAAATAGGACACGCGCACACACACAAACCAGGTATCTCTCACTTTAGAACATTAACCTTCCTGGCATCAGAGACTTCTCGGGGGGGAGGGTATAGCTCAAAGAGGTAGAGCACATGCTTAGCAGGCACAGTCCTAGGTTCAATCCCCAGTATCTCCATTAAAATAAACAAACAAACAAACCTAATT